GATGTCCCAGAACCAAATCCCAAATTTCCAGATGGATCTCCCAAAATATTTTGCCCAGTTCTTTCTCTGATACCACCTGCAGAACATAACATGATTATTAGCTGAGTGTATGTCAATCAATGTAAGCCTCAGAACTATTCTATGCTCAGAGATTAAATATCACTGAAATCATCAGAAGAGTATTGTCTAGTACATTTTATTCCCTTTTGGCTATAGCCAATATCATCAATTTGATCTTCACCAGAATATCCAAAAAGAAATTTAGCTTTATCCTTCCTTTCTCCGTAGCGAATGCTACTTTCCCCTTCTTCTTTTTTTTTTTTTTTTAGATCCAAATCCTAAAGACTGGTTCTTTCTCACTAATAGAGTACTAAAATGTTATGAAAATAATTGTCAAAGGTGGAAATCAATTTAGATTTCACCAGAGCAGAGTCCAAAATGGACTACCTGTGTCACTGGTACTAGATCCACTGCTGATCATGTCACTCCCAAAAGATCCACTCCTTCCAAATCCATTTACAACTGATGTCCCAGAACCAAATCCCAAATTTCCAGATGGATCTCCCAAAATACTTTGTCCAGTTCTTTCACTGATACCACCTGCAGAATATAATATGATTTTTAATAAACATATGTCAATAATTGTAAGACTCAGAAGCACAGTAATGAAATATTACTGACACCATGAGAACTACATTTTCTAGTACATTTTATTCCCTTTTGGCGAAGGCCAATGTCATCAATTTGATTTGAATCCAAATATCTAAGAACAAATTTAGCTTTTTCCTTCCTTTCTCCAAATCCAAAGCTAGTTTCACCCCTCCTTTTTCCAGATCCAAAACCTAAAGACCAGTTCTTTCTCACTAATGGAGAGCTAACATGTTATTAAAATAATTGACAAAGGTGGAAATCAATTTAGATTTCACAAGGGTAGAGTCCAAAATGGACTACCTGAGCCCCTGGCACCAGATCCACTGCTGATCATGTCACTCCCAAAAGATCTTCTGCGTCCAAATCCATTTACACCAGATGTCCCAGAACCAAATCCCAAATTTCCAGATGGATCTCCCAACCTATTTTGCCCAGTTCTTTCACTGATACCACCTGCAGAATATAAAATTATTTTTTAACAGAACATATGTCAATACTTGTAAGATTCAGAATTTTTTCATGCACACAAATGAAATATCACTGAAATCATCAGAACTGTATTGTCTAGTACATTTTATTCCATTTTGGCTAAGGCCAATGTCACCAATTTGATTTCATTCCAAATATCTAAAACCAAATTTAGCTTCACCCTTCCTTTTCCAGATCCAAATGGTTTCACCCTTCCTTTTTCCAGATCTAAAACCTAAAGACTAGTTATTTTCCACTTTGGGAACTAAAATATTATTAAGATAATTGATAAATATCAAAACAATTTAGATTTCACCAGAGCAGAGTCCAAAATGGACTACCTGAGCCCCTGGCACCAGATCCACTGCTGATCACATCACTCCCAAAAGATCTTCTGCGTCCAAATCCATTTACACCAGATGTCCCAGAACCAAATCCCAAATTTCCAGATGGATCTCCCAAATTATTTTGCCCAGTTCTTTCACTGATACCACCTGCAGGATATAATATGATTTTTAACAGAATGTATGTCAATAAATGTGAGATTCAGAACTATTCCATGCACAGAAATTAAATATCACTGAAATCATCAGAACTTCATGGTCTAGTACATTTTATTCCATTTTTGCTATGGCCATTGTCACCAATTTGATTTGAACCAATTTAGTTTCCACCCTTTTTCCTTCCTTTTTCTAATCAAAAGACCAACGACTTTCCACTAACAGAGAAATCAAAATTTTAATAAATGAAATAATGTGTATTTGAGATTCAGTTGGATATCCCCAAAACAGAGACTGGGTTGAATACTTGAACCACCCTCAGATTCAAGGCTTTTGAATCCATCCCCAATAGAGCCAGTGCCACTCATTCCATTCCCTCTGATTTCATTGATTCCCAATATATGTTGAACAAATATCCCTAAATTCAATCCCAAATTTCCAGAGCTGTCACCAACAAATTTATCCCCACTTCTCACACTGGTTTCACCTTTGGAATGTAATATTTGCCACTAAGTATACTAAATCCATTTCAAATTCAGAGATTTTTATGCACAGGAGTTAAAAATCAGTAACTAGACCATTGGAAATAGATCCTCCAGAACTGCCCCTTAATTTCCTCCAACCATGTTGCTACTAATTCCAATGGCACCAAATGGATTAAAACCAGAAATACCAGAACCTAATGCATCTTCACCTTTCCCTACTCCAAGTCCCAAACCAAAAGATGAAATAATGGAAAACTCAAAATATTGTTCAAAATTAATGTTAATTAATTAATTAATTAATGTTTTTTTTAAAAAATTGTTTTTATCAAAATTGATTATTCATATTTTTCAAGAATAACTCTTTGTTGCAATACTTGAACCAGGGACACCTGATCTAAGGCCTATGGATTTGTCCCCAGCCAGTCTTCCACTACTCATTTCACTCCCATCGGTTCTACTGATATCCAATGCCTTTTGAGCAGATGTCCCCAAATAAAGTCCCAAATCTCTAGAGACACTGCTACTAAATTCGTTCCCAGTTCTTGTGTTGGTGCTATCTTCTAAAATAAAAAATTCAGGATGTATTTTAAAATGCTTGTAATTCTTTACTTTTTATGTACAAAACCTGAATAATAATAACTAGATCATTTCAAACTCAAATAAATTCACTGCCATTGAATCGATTCCAGCTCATAGTGACCTCCATTGGGTTTCCAACACTGTAAATCTTTATAGATTGCCCATCTTCCTTCTGAGGAGCAACTGGTGGATTTGAACCACTGACCTTCTGGTTAGCAGCCAAATGCCTTATCCACTAAGCCACCAGAGCTCCCTAACTAGATCATTAGAGCTTGATTTTTCTAATATGCCCTATTCCATTATCATTAAAGCCTTTTTGTTCAAAGATCACCACTTGAGCCAGAATTAATCCAACCAAATCCAAATTCACCTTTCTCTTTTCTACCAAGTCCAAAATCAAAAGATAAAAGTATTTCATCTAATGGAAAATAAAATTATATCAGCAGTAATAAAAAAAAGAATCAAAATTATTTCTATTTTTTTTAAATTTTGGATCAGAATTCCTGAGCCACTAAGAGCAAAAGCCCACTCAGAGCCGACAATTCATCACCAATAAACCCACTGCTGTTCTTCCTGTGTTCATCAATTTCTGTAAGTCTCCCTGACACATAAATAGGTAGAGTTACTCTGCTGCTTTTTTTTTCTTCCAAATGTGAAATGAAATTTATCCAAACTTCTAAAATTTCTTTTTTTTGGCATCTTTCCTTAAAAAAAAAAAAAAAAAGACTAGTTCAAAAATGAATTATAGACGGTAAAATATGGAAACAAAACCATTCAAATAACTTTCCCAAAGTACAAAGAAGTGGAAAGTGTTGAATAGAAAGTAGATCTCTTCCTCCCAGGTCCAAGCTCTTTCATAAGGTCTCAAATCTACTTGTCTCTTCACTAAAGTATCTAAATTCCTGATTTCCATTGAAGATAATACAGATTATTTAAGAATTAATTACATGGTTTACAAACTTTCCCATAAGTACCTCTCACACTGAATTTGTTTTGGTAGAAAAGAACGCCAATTCCTGCTTTATTAATTAATTGGTTTTCCTGCCAAAGTAGAAGATAAAGACCATTTATAATACCTGTTTCTCTGGCAGCAGAATCAGAGCCAGCTAATCCATTGTTTACCACATTCGCATCATATCCATTTTGGCCAGATGAACTGCGATCAATTTCATTTTGTTTTAAAGTAGTGCTGCCAAGATCCGTGCCACCAGAGACACCATTGTCAACATCCGTTGCTGAAGTTGTTTCATCTACCATACAAAAATATAATCATTATTTAAAAAAAAAAAAAAAAGTTGTGTTAATTTATATTATACAAGAACTAACTCCATGTACAGGTTTATATCACAGTATTGGATATATTCTCCCACATGTATTTTCATATAGAATTCTACAACATGTAATCATGGTCATACATGACAACCAATTTAACACAAAGGCTGAGAAAATTCTAGAAGAAAAGTGAGGCATTAAGACCACGTAAGATAGTTTCACTGTGTTCCACAAAGCAAAAGAAAACACCTCAAAATTATAAACAAGAGCAAATATAGTTGCCTCAATTTTGTCAATCACAAAACAGGTAGGCAGGCAGGGAACTTTTATGACCTTATTAACCATATTTCAACCTCATTCCCATACCTAAGGGGTTATCACTGAATAGAGTCATACATTAAATTTTAATATAAAATATTGATGTTATTGTCCTTTCTCCTATATTTGTAGGAGTACAAACTACAGAGATTTGAGGAACCAAAAAGATAAAGTAAAAGTTTAAATTGGCCAATAGGAAGAAATGCCTTGAACAAAAGAGGGTATGTCTCACATAAAGAAATTTAATTTTTTTTTTCCAAAACAAAACACACTTTCTGGTCACAAACAGCTTAGAAACCCTGCTTTATAATACTATTCAGTAATTTGAGTATGAAATTTAAAGAAAGAACCCTGATATGGAAAATAAGTTGTCTCTGGAAACAGAAATGTGAATGGAAAGGCCTACAATAAATTTGAGTTTAAGAAATATTTTAAATTATTACTTTATACCATGAAAAAACTGCCATACAAATGATAGCTCACCATCATCATAATAAAAAGAGGGAGAAAGATAGTGTGAGAAAATTTAAATTGCCTGGAGAAACCATTCAATTTAATGTGTACATCTTTACCCCTATTCTCTAAAGGCAGAATTTATCACTCTCATTGGCACTGGAATTAGTGCCTCTAGATTCTCCACTATCATTAGTAAGGTCATTTTCTGCAGTTAAAGCAAAAATGATCAGACTATCCCAAATGGAAAAAAAGCACCTGCTTCCTCATCATCACTTCTCTAACAGTACCTTCTTCTGGGGTGTCGTCTAACTCTAAACTATCAGTCTCTCGACGTTGTCTTGGAGCAATAAATCCAGTGTCAAAGTGTCTTCTGTTTGAGTCACCAAAAGATGAACCACTGAACAAAAAGCCACCTAATGTGAATGACAGAAGATATTATTTGAAAACAGTATTACAAAATTGATCTGATAATGACACCATGAAAAGTCTTATTTTATTTTGGGTAAGCACCATTATTCTAGCAGCATTTAGAACAACATATGCTGTGGACTGATGTAATCACCAAACCTTTATCTTTTTGTCATGGTTCTAACACCTCAAGAAGAGAGGAGGATAGAGCTATCAAAATTTAATAAATAATGTTTACTAGAAATTCTTCTCAGGGATAAGGCAGATGTTTTCCTGTCTTCTTTCTCTATTTCCCAAGTTCCAGTGTCCCACCTTCCCTCTTAAAAATATTCTGCATATTTAGTCCACACTGCCTTTGGCTAGTGCATGTTGTAGCTGATAAAATTATGATTACCTACCTGATTCTCTTTTATGTCTTTCTGTAAAGAAGAAAAAAATGAAAATATTTACTCATAAAGTATTTGCAGCATTCACCTTTTCCAAGTATTAGCTTACATGTCATCTCAATGTCAATGCTGACTCTTTAGAATTGCAAGCCCACTCTCACCCTAATTTCTTAATTACCATCATATTACTGTATTATTCCATAGACTCTATCCTCTCCTAATATACCATGCTTATTACTTGTAATGTTTATTGCTTATTGATGGTCTCCTTCTTCTAGATTTTATACTCTATTTTAGGCTCAATTTTTTTTAATTTACTTTTTTCACTAAGGTATTCCAGGTGTATAGAACAATGCCTGAAGCATAGAAGGTACTAAGTTAATATTTATTTAGTAAAAGCATTCCACTACAGAGACCTCTCCTTTAGATAATGTATCTTGCATTACCTAAGGTACATTGTGCTTTCCACTATACTACTTATATATTTTTAGAAAATATCTAATAAAATAAAGTACATTAGAAGTAATAACATCCCCAAAAGTATGACTCCTATAAAATTGTAGAAGACATGCATTTTAGTCATAAAACAGAGAAGAAAATGAAAAGTATTATTTGATAGCTAAATATGAAGTTTCCTCTTGGAATTCTGACATTTTCCATTTGTCTAGAAAATACAATTTTTTTAAAACAAATAGTATACAGAAATAAATATTAATATGCTTAAGGAAGATTGGGTAATCTGCTTCCATAGAGGTACCACCTCAGAAACCCAAGGAGGGATCAATATGAGTCAAATCAACTCAATGGCAATGAGTTAGGTTAGGTTATACTTTTTAAAATAGTCAGAATAGGAGTTAGTCTACGATATAGTTTGATATAGAAAGCTCCAAAAGTTAAGATTTTATGAAATTGTAATGTTCACTTATAGGTGCTTGATTTAGGAGGAATAAATACACATGTTTAAACCAGGTATAGCCAATTTGCATTATTATGGTGTAACCGTCAAACTCCTATTACTTATTCTACTTTTCCCCATGTGCAATATTTTCTCTATCTCTCGTTTCCTACATAGTTTTTCTCCGTTTACTTCAGCATTCACTGTCTTTCTTCACTCTAATTTAGTTTTAGAATTGCACTTTAATATCTAAATACTTTAATTTTGTGGCAAAGTAGAAGGAAATGAGGCCATGGTCCATAGTAGGAGTATGGACTTTTGAGTCAAACCCATCTGGCCTCCCCCAATTACAGTAAGAATGTCCTTGGACAATACCTCGCTTAAAGTCAGGCAAGAGGGGCTCTTCTTGTCTGCTATACAGCCTCTCTCAAATCTCTCAGGGCATAGCACTCCTCCAAAGACAAAGTATACAGACAGAGGATCTAGGGGCCATGCTCACCCAGAGCCTGGATGACAACATGCTCTCTTCCCATTCACCTTGCTCTAAGTCCCCAAGACCATGAAGCCCCAAGTCTGCTACTAGGGTCTGCAAGGGTATCTTTCCCAAGACTGTCTTCCAAAGATTAGACCACACTGCAGGGATTAGGATTCCTCTTGGGTAGAGAAACTTTACAAAATAGATAATATTCCATGATATTAAAAAACCTGAAGAAATTTGTATGACAACTGTTGAGACCAGAATTTATTCTAGTTTAAATAGTTCACTGAGAAATTAATCCTAGAATACAAAATTAAAACATGATCTATTATTAAATATAAACTCACTCACTGCCATCAAGTCAATTGTGATGCATAGCAACCCCCTTAGGGTTTCTGAGGTGGTAAATCTTTACAGAAGTAGAGTGCCCATCTTCCTTCCATGGAGTGGCTGGTGGGTTTGAACCAGCAACCTTCTGGTTAATAGTCAAATATCTTAGGCACCATGCCACCAGAGCTCCTTGTTATTAAGAATGTTGTTGTTGTTGTTGTTGTTATGTGCTGTCGAGTCAAACCCAACTCATAGCGATAGGAAGGTAAAATCTTAAGTCAATACATTTCTATCATGTATTTAAAATTAAAAACAAGAAAACAAGTAACCTTCCATTTCAAATTTCATCACTTTTATAGATAATGATTAAATTTTAAAATGTCTGGCCTAGATTATATGAAAACACATGAAAGTTTGTTTATAATAATCAAGGACATTTCATTTCAAATATTTTAAGGATATTGCCAAGGAATATATTCCCTTCAAAGAAAAGCGTAGCCTCCCCATTGGTTTTTCAGTAAGAAAACAAATTAATTTATCTGATCTGTTTTCAGCTATTTTACCATCTGCAGAAACAAAGTGAATCCTGATTAGAACAATTTCACGTCTTTGGGAGATTTTTCCATAAAGATATGCTGAGTGAATTCAATACTCAGGTGTGAATAAGGTAGCTAACTATTAACTGTGGTGTATTATACCCTTCTAGAATGGGGCAATCTACTTCTGTAGTGATAACACCTCAGAAACCCAAGGAGGGGTCGCTATGAGTGGAAAATGACTCCATGGCAGTGAGTTTGGTTTTTGATTTAGAACACCCACAGATCTACTTCTGTAAAGATTTACTGCCTCAGAAACCCCAAGGGGGTCGCTCTGAGTTGGAATAGACTGGATGGCAGTGAGTTTAGTTTGGTTTGGTAGCACATCCACATACAGAAGAAAGACTCAGCCAACCCTCCAGTCAATCTGGAGCACAGTTTAGATGTGTTCCATTAGAACACAGCACAATACATATAACTGAATCATTCTTGGATCATGGAGAAAGTGCTTCATAATGTTAATTATTGTTCTACTGGTGAAATTCAAAAGTTTTAGCTTAAAAAATATTTTCATGTGACAAAATTGCTGGATAACAAAAATTTCTTAATTTGAACCAATAGTACAATTTCTATTTTACTGTTAGGTACCAAGATTCAGGTATACACAATCTTCAAGTTATATAATTGTTATTACTGTTTATCAAGGTGAATTTCTCCATATTAATATAAATGGCAAGTAAATATGCAAGTTTGTGGGCATAGCATATGTGTCAACAATTCTCAACCAGACAAAATACATCACAACTAATGGTACAATTTACATACAGAGGCTTGTGGTTGCTAAGTTAAAAGTAGAAATATGAAAAATAGTTTTACCAACTATATCAAGGCATTAGTCTCCAAAAGAATTTTCTCAAGGACTATGTGAGCTAAAATACTTAACAATGGCAATATGTTTTGCATGTAGATTATAATTCAAAAAACCTCAACTACATTCTAGATAAAATTTTTATTTCTAGAACTTGGAATTGACCTGGAAAATTCAGGAACTTGGTCAGAGATTGGGCATAAATTAAGATAAAACATCAAAAAGAGCCAGTTAAAAGATAAGTTTCCCATGTATTCTGATAAACTGTCAAAATCAAATTGTGTAGTTACACATACAGACACACACACATTTAGCCAAAAGGCTGTGAAGAAATGGTTTATAGGAAGAGTTTGTCGTTGTTCCCATTAGTTGTGGAGTTGATTCCAACTCATGGCCACCCCATGTGTATAGAGTAAAACTTTTCTGTGGGGTTTTCAAAGCTGGCGCCTTTCACGACTAGATAGCCAGGCCTATATTCCAAGGTGTCTCTTGGGTGTGAACCACTATCCTTTGGGCTAGTAGTCAAGTACTTAACCATTTGTGCCACTCAGAGATTGCGTACATATGGTTTGGAGACAAAACCAAACCAAACTCACTGCAGTCAAGTCAATTCCAACTCATAGCGACCCCTCTGTGGGTGTCCAAGGTGGTATCTCTACAGAAGTAGATTGTCCAATCTTCCTTCTGAGGAGTGGCTGGTGAGATTGAACCAGCAGGCTTCTGGTTAGCAGTCAAATGCCTTAGGCACTATGCCACCAGAGTTTCTTTAAATATAAATATTTCTGGAGAAAAATAGTATGGTAACATTCCCCATATCAGTTAGAGACCTAAAAAAAATTAACTATCTAGAATGTAAGTTCCGGTCAAGAAGTCAGCTCCCAAACTCTCTGGCAGAAAATAGAGATGTCATAAAACTCATGCCTAAATGCTTTTTCACTTTATCCATCAAGAAAAACTCTCATGGTTTCATTCACAGTGTACACTCACAGATACAAAGCTAATGGGAGTAGATTTATGTCGCTTTCATGTCAGCAGACCAAAAGTAAATAAAAATTGGAACAGGATGCTGAAAGCAGACACAATGATCCTATTAGGATATAGAGAGTTTTGCTGAGCAGAAGTGAATAGACAGAAAAGCAAATCAAAAGCAGACTTGGAAACTCAGAAACCTTCTATACAGTAGGGGAAACGATCTTGCATAAATTAGTAACGATGCCTGAGGGTATCATTGTATTGTATACAATAGACAACTGACTTCATTTTGATGTCCTCAGAAAAAAGGTTAAATTCTGTTCAAAAGCACCTTAACCCCCTGAATAAGAAGATAGAGTATCTGTAGTTTACTTCTATACATTTAACTTGCAAAAGATTTGACTACTTTCATATAGAAATTATTTTATGCAGAATAAATCATGTGTCAACGACCCCACATTATTTCATTACTTCAAAGCAAATACATACTGAGTGCCTGCCTATAGAGCAATCACTGTTCTCAGCATTATGTACACAACAAAGACCATACCCTGTCTTTAAAGAGCTTATAATTACATGGGCTAAATGAAGAGGCTCAATCGTTTATTGAAAAAGTCAAGTGTATATTAAAAACACTAACATTTGGTGTTCCAAAAGCAGGTTTAGAATACAACTTGCTATGTCTAAATAGGAGCTCTGGTAGCATAGTGCCTAAGGCACTTGACTGCTAACCAAAAGGCTGGCGGTTCAAACCCACCAGCCACTCCTCGGAAGGAAGGTTGGGCAATCTACTTCCGTAGTGATACTGCCTCAGCAACCCAAGGAGGGGTTGACTATGAGTCGGGTCCGACTCGACGGCACATAACAACAACAACAACAATGTCTAAATAAAGATTAATTTATAAAAGATACCTGATTTTTGTTTGTAAAATAAGGCTTCTCCATCTGTTAAAAAAAAAAACAAAATTAATGAGAATAATGTTCTTGTTTCCATTCTTCTGTAGAATTCAATATAAGCAAATCATGTTTTATATTTATTAACTATGATATTTCAGTGTCAATGTGTTATTTTGGAGCTTTCTCATTTAATAGAACTTACTATATAAATTTACCTATCACCATACTTAATATCAAAGTTTACAATGTCACCTCATCCTTCAAATATGTATAAACCCACAGATTAATATTAGCCAGTACTTATATTTTTCACAGTATCATAATCTCTTACAACTATCAATCTTAAGTATATTTCCTGATCTAAATTTCATCTGATTTTTATTGTCCCTAAAAATTTTCTAGTTGATATATTCACAAGCAATAAATTAACTACCTCTTTCTCCTAAGAAAAGGAGCAAAGAAAGAAAATAATAATAATAATCAACTGAGTGGGTTTTACTTTAATGAGAATATACAATAGCCTGGGAATGAATAAGAATTGATTGTGCATGCCTATTTCGTGTCAGATCTACGTCTCTTATCATTGAAGTTTTTTCCACCTAGCCAGAAAACTTTTATTTTTTTCTTCCTAAAATTTATGATTGGTTAAACAATACAAGCTTTTCTTCTAATCGATTATATAGGTGGCACCTAAATATTTGTCTTTACTAGCTTCCAGGCCCCCCAGCCTTTACCATTCTGTAACATGTTAAAAATGATGGGAGTCTGTGTTTGAGACATAAACTCACTGATTAAGAACAAAAATTAATTTCAACCCAGGCACGTGACCTAACATGAATAACAAAAGGCACTTGAAGTTTTTTAAAACATACTTTGTCAAATATGCTCTTTAATTCCCACCATGGCCTCAGATACATAAAATATCTGAATCTTATCAACAAATCACTTATCTAAAGAAAACTTCCTGGGAGCTCTGATGGCATAATAATTGTAATCATTTTCAAGAACTGCCTTGGATAGCTAGGAATCTACTTTAAAAACATTCTTCAATTCCTTAGTGATTTTAATATATTTAATAGAAAAATTTAAACTACATTTTGTTGTGATAGGATATAATTTAATATGTGTTTGCAGATGGTGTGTTCTGGGCTTTATTGAGAAACACATTTATGCAAAGTAGAAGCAAAGGGATATATATTACAAAAGTCATTGGTAGTTGAAGTAATTATTTTTTAAAAGTCTATCAGAAGATATCCTAGGTAGTTGGCTAATGATAGAAAGACTTTCACTTGATCACAGGAAATAATTGTAGTCCTATATACTCTGAGATCTCATAGGAAAGTTGTAGAACAAAATCTCCTCCCTTTTGCAAACATATCCTCTTGCTATTTCTTCTGCCATTCTTGGAAACAGAACTAAAGGATAAGAAATAAATGTGTTTCCAAAGACTTTCATCTTGCTCAATTCTGAATTTTTAATACTATTGTTTAATGTCTTATCATTCATTTCATTCCAGAAATTAATTAATTGACTTTCTCAAATATCCAGGTAAATTATTAATATAAGAAATATTGTACCTAAGAATTTTTTTCTGGTGGTAAATCTTTGAATTTGGTAATGTTTTTATGATTTTTGAAAATTGTATTTATTGGTGTGAAGACTTAATGTGGATGTGGAATCAAGATGCAATCATTAAAGGACAAAGTGTAATGAAAAATCAGTAGAAAAAAAAAATAATACTATATGTACCTTGGATAACCTGTTCACTACTACTTCTAAGCACTTGAGCTCTGGTAGCATAGTGCCTAAGGCACTAGACTGATCACCAGAAGGCTGGCGGTTCAAACCCACCAGCAACTCCTCGGAAGGAAGGTTGGGCAATCCTACTTCCGTAGTGATACTGCCTTGGAAACCCAAAGAGGGGTCGCTAGGAGTCGGGGCTGACTCGACGGCATATAACAACAACAACAACAATCTGTCTTTCTATCTATGTACACACACACACACACACACACACTCTTAAGAAAGTTTTGTTAAAGCTGTAGTAATACTCAAAAGGATGAAAATCCAGTCTTCTTAGATAGTATTCTATTCTGATATGTAATAAATATTTCTCAGGGAGAAAAAGTTTGAACTAGAGAACATAAAAAAAATGGAATCACTTATATACATGGTCCCATCAAATTTGAAGGGATTTTTTAAATTAGCCTCTTACCTTTGCATATGATGCAAAGTGCCACAATCCAACACAAAAAGATCAACTTCATGGTGATGATATGGGACCTAGAAACACAGACCAGTCATCCTGGAGACTCAAATCCACCAAGGACCCTCTCACTGGAGTTTTTATACCCACTGGTACTACTGTCTGTCATCATGGGCTAGGTGTGGTAGGCTTGGCGATGACAGAGCATAGGTAAATATCACAGCATGCCAAAGACGAAATCCATTTCAAGTCAGTTTAATGTCTTCTTTCTGTGACATCTTCTCTCTTGAACCAAGTCCAGCTCACGCCAAACCCAGACCATGTCTTCTTGCCACCTTTTGCAAACAGCAAAGTCAGGAACTAAAAGCTCCAGAATTTAAAAACAAACATGCCAATGATGTACATTTATCTGTACCCTATAAATCATGTCAGAAGTCTTAATACCTCAGTAAACTCAAATACTGTGATTAAATACTGCAATTGTCTTTCCCTTAACAACAAAATGTTTTCAACGTTAGTCTACTTTGAAACAAATAACTATTTATTGATATGCTAATAAGTAGCCCTTAGAGAAATATATAACTATCACATAGATAAAGGGATAGGAACAGACACAGTAACACGTATTACTAGCTTTATTACTTACCAGGAAACAAAATATCCCAATAATATACATATTTACATAAATTTTACCACCAGACACACAAATAAATAAAGAGAGAGAGGAAAAAAAAAAACACTGCCAGAGAGTTAATTCCGACTCATAGCAGTCCTATAGTATGGGGTAGAACTTTCCCCTGGGCTCCCAAGGCTGTAAATCTACAGAAGCAGACTGCTTCATCTTTCTCTCATGGAGTGGCTGGTGGGTTAGAACCTCTGATCTTTTGGTTAGCAGCCCAGTGATATTACCACAGTGCCACCAGAGCTTCTAAAATAATGTTTTTCTTATGTTATCATTTCTATATGTCTTGTATTTATTTCCTGTGTCTGAGGAAATAAATCAAAGACATATAGAAATGATAACATAAGAAAAACATCATTTTAGGGAAAAATATAATTAAATAGAAAACACCATCCAAAGATTGTATACCTAGGAATTCTGTAGTGCAAGGAAAATTTCAACACAAGATCTAAGAGGAGAAGGGCTGATCTGTTTTGAGAAGGATAGAGAGAATGGACAATCAGAGGAATTAGAGCTGGAAAATGGAAGGGCCAAATCTATGTTTGATGATGTCACCTATTTCTTACCTGCTTCCAACTTTTACCAAGAAAAGTGTTTGGTGGCCAAGCAGTCTCAATTTATTCTCTCCAGAGAAGCAGTATATTCCTTTTATCCATTCATTTCTGAACTAATCTAAAGGGAAAAAATGATGTTTACAGATACAGTTAACATATTCGGCTGCTAACCAAAAAGATCAGAGGTTCAAGTCCATCCAGAGGCACATAAGAAGAATGGCCTGGCAATATGCTTCCAACAAATCAACCACTAAAACCTTGTAGAGCACAGTTCTACTTTAACACATGAGGTCACCATGAGTCAGAATTAACCAGACAGAAATTGGTTGGTTTACCTTCTCAGAGAACCTCACCAAAACATAATAAATGATCTTAGAGATGTACTCCCTCCTCCTGCCAAATATCCTTAGTCTGCTTTCTGAGTTCTTAAATTATTTGGAGGAGGACCCAATTCTTAGTCCATGGTAATTAGATTTAAATATTTAAATTGCATATGCTTCTTTAAGGAAACACATTTGCTAAAGGTTATGCATTTTATAACCTGGTATCAGTAGTGTAAGTTTCAGAGCTTTTTCTGTGGAACAGGTATTTGGTGAGTGGGGAAACAGCACGCCCAATGGTATTGAAGGAGAGGACTCATTTCAAAAAAGAAAAGGATGTAACAAATAAAAGGGTGGAATCTAAAGAATGACCTCATTTATTTCATAATTTTGTCAAAATCAGCTATGATTGTTTAAAATATTCTCAAATAAATAAAACCGCACATTAAGGCTTTTTCTCTATTACAGAATAAAAAAAAAAAAGTGCACTTAAAAGGGGATGCTGACCTTTGAGACTCATATCACCACTACCGCAAGACAGTTATTTCTTTATTATATATGACTTCATTGTAAATGTGATTTGATTCAAAAGAGCCCATTTTTCAGATTTTCAGGACGACATAACTATTCTCCATTACTCGTCTGTCAGTTTGTTGTACTGTGGCAGCTTGCGTGTTGCTGTATGCTGGAAGCTATGCCACCAGTATTTTAAGTGCCAGCAGAGTCATCCATGGTGGACAGGTTTCAGCAGACTAAGAAGAAGGACCTGGTGATCTAAGTCTAAAAATAAATAAATAAATAACCAGTGAAAACTATGAAAAGCAGCAAAACACTGATAAAGTGATGAAAGATGAACTCAGGTTGGAAGGCACTCAAAATACGACTGGGGAAGGGCTGCCTCCTCAAAGTAGAGGCTACCTTAATGATTTGTATGGAGTAAATCTTTCTGGACCTTCAATTGCTGATGTGGCACAATTCAAAAGGAGAAAAACAGCTGCAAACATCCATTAATAATTAGAATGTTGAATGTACATAGTACGAATATAGGAAAATTAGGTGTTGTCAAAAATTAAATGTAAACATATAAAGATCAATATCCTAGGCATTAGTAGCTGAAATGGACTGGTATTGGCTATTTTGAATCACAAAGTCATATGGTCTATTTTGCCAGGAATGACAAACTGAAGAGGAATAGCATTGCATGCTGCGGTGTAGTCAATTACATGGTATGGTTTTTGTAGCCATAGTCTTTGTAACTCCCACTGGATTACTGGGTTGGACCATGCAATTTAAACTCCTGATTGTTATTTACCCACCTGGGGTGTTTCTGTTGGAGCAGCATGAAGTAATCCAGGAAAGTTTGCTCTCTCTCAGGTGTTTATAACTCTGATGTTGGAATTGGTTGGTTTTGTCATTCTGCCAGGTTCAAAATGAGCCCTCCTTGTTGTTATTTGCCATTGAGTCGGACTCGACTCATAACGACCCCTCCTTGGATTTCCAAGGCAGTATCACTACAGAAGTAAATTGCCCAAACTTCCTTCCAAGGAGTGGCTGGTGGGTTTGAACCTCCAGCCTTCTGGTTAGCAGTCAAGTGCCTTAGGAGCTATGTTATTAGAGCTCCTGAGCCCTCCTTGAGGCAGAAGAAATCTGACTGCCAGCTGAGACTCACTGCTAAGAGAGACATGCAGCTGAGAAAGAGATGCCTGGATAAGAGAAACACCTGGCTGAGAGATGGCAGCAGTGGAACCAAGAGGAATGAGACAGAGCGGCAGGCTTACCTGGCCCAGAGAGACAGAGACCAGGTCAAGAGGCCAAGGACAGGAGAGACATGTCTAAGGGCACAGCAGAGGGGAGACTGTCCTGATCAGAGAACTGAATCCTGAGCTCATTTCTGAATTTGAAATGTAGCCTGTTACTTCCCTAATAAACCTCATAATCTGTGAGTTCTACATGTCCACTGTAGAGAATTATTAAACCCAGCAGAGATGTGGTGGGTGCCACAGGAGGGATGGTTGTTGCCAAGCTTGGTAAGAAGGCTGGAGGGTGGTGGCATGTGTGGCCTCATAGGAACATACCTTGGGCTGCTGACGGTGATTCTGTCTTCCTCATATGTAGTTAGAGGAGGTCAAAAGATGCTAACTCCTTGCCCCTTTAGCACATGCATTGTCCAAAACAACATTTCAAGATCTATCCTGAAGTATAATGCTGTCCATGATAGGATAATATCCATATGCCCACAAGGAAGACCAATTGTTACAACAATTACTCAAATTTATGCACTAACCACTGAAGCCAAAGATGAAGACTGAATATTTTTACCAACTTCTGCAGTCTGAAATTAATCAAACATGCAATCAAGATGCATTGATAATTACTGGTGATGGGAATGTGAAAATTGGAAACAAAGAAGGATCTGCAGTTGGAAAATATGGCCTTGGTCATAGAAATAACACCAGAGATTACATGACAGAATTTTGCAAGACCAACAATCCATTGGGAGCTTTGATCCTGATCTTTCATTATCGCTCCCCCATCTCAACAATTCCAATTCATCCTTATCTCATTTAAAATTTAATCTGTGTCATTATTCCTTTGCATGAATCCTCAATTCCCTTGAAACTCTTTATATATGAAACTCTTACAAAACCCTAACCATGGCTTAAATTAAACTTTTTTCCTATTCCCTCCTCCCCATATCCATGCAGATGCACATGGCAGTGTAAAAATATAGTCAAGTTAACTTGTACCTCTTAAATTCATATGCCAAGTGGACACTTAAAACATCCAAACCAAACCAAACTCACTGCTGTTGAGTCGATTTGATTCGACTCATAGCAACCCCACCTTGGGTTTCCAAGGAGGTATCTTTAAGGAAGTAAATTGCCCAATATTCCTTCCAAGGAGCGGCTGGTGGGTTAAAACATCCAGCCAGTAATATTTTCTAGTCCATTTGTTCTTACACTCCTCTATTTCATATCTTCTCTCTTCAACCTCCAACACTTCCTTCCCATCCTCCTCTGTTATTGGCCTTAGTGCCATTTTATCAAGACAACAAAAGCTCTCAAAAGAGAAATTCTATACATTACCACTCCCAAATAAATCTCTCTACTAGTACTTGTACCCTATAATCAGACTTCCCTCTTATTAGTATAGATTAACTCTCTGTGACCCTATCTAATGTCTACCCTTCCATTTTTGTACTGGATCCACCCAAGAACATTATGCAAGCAATTCTCGATATTGCATCAGTAAGGTTTTTCCTCTTTTGGAGTATTCCCAACAGTATATACATGCTATATTCTGTCCTAACTCAAAAACAAAAACAGAAAATGCTGTACTAATATTGTTCATAGTCTTTGTTTTCTTTCGCCATCTAAAAATTGCCTAGTAATGAAAAATAGTCCAAGTTTTAATAATGCTTACAGGAACATTTTCACTGTAATATTAACAACAATAGGTAAAATTTGGTTTCAGTGGAACTGAAAGTCAAGATTATAATAAAATGTTGGTACACTCTATTTTAGCCTTTTCTTGAGGTTTCTTTTTTTTTTTTTTTTTTTTTTTTATTTTTTCATGGAGGCTAATAATTCAATTACTTATGAAAGCTACAAATCACATTTCTTTGATCCTAGTGTCTCTTCAAACCAGTCCTTTTAGGACTCTTTTTAGCTTCTCAGATTTCCAAGTATTTGTGATTGATACCATTATAAAAGAAAAAGGTTATATATATATATATATCTTTTTTAAAAGGAATTAATACTACCAGTTAATGTTTAATACTATCTGCAAATGTTAATGAGTGGTCTCTATAACATTTTTTTTTCCCTAAGAAGTAGTCTCCTTTTCTTTTGGAGTTTGTCATTAGGTAGCTTGTTTTTACATGGAAATTTATCACTTCAACTATTTTGTAATGCAATATCAATTGGAGAAAGCCAACTAATAGTTCTAACACATACACTGCATAGCTACTGTACATAGCTTAAAAGCATGTCCAACAAAAAGAACAATAGTCAAATGTTTTCTTCTTTATTTAAAGGATGTGGCTTAAGTGTCTTTGCACTAAATGATACACTGTCAGAGAAAAGGTCAAGAGTTGACAGAACAATGACATCAGTATGTGCAAGACAGTTTTTCACTTTTCATATTTTTTTTTAAAAAATAAAGTTTTTACCAGAAGGGAGTATAGAAAATGATAAACAGAATCAATTAGAATTGTGGAACAAGAAGTTTCTTAGTTCCATATATATTATGATCTGAAATTATATTGGAAATTTTAGTGTTTGAAAATCAGGAAATTTTTGTTATGTGGGAAATTTGGTTTGAATATAATTAAATTTTTGGAAAGCTACTACTTAAATTGATAAAATTATTCAAAATATCAATAAATATTATTTAACACTATCACTCCTTGTCTATTGGTTGGTTATACTGTGCTGGCTTGCATGTTGCTGTAATACTGGAAACTATGCCACTGATATTCCAAATACCAACAGGGTCACTTATAGTACACAGATTTCAGCAGAGTGTCCACACTAAGAAAGACTAGGAAGAAGGACCTGGCAATTTAAATCTAAAAATAATGGGAGTGAAAATTTATGAATAGCAGCAGAACATTGACATAGTACCAGAAGATGAGTCCCTCCAGTTGGAAGACACTCAAAATATGACTGGAGAAGAGTTGCCTTCTCAAATTAGAGACGTTACTGAACGTGAGTAGAATAAAACTTTCAGGATCTTCATTTGCTTATGTGGCACAATTCAAGATGAGAAGAAACAGCTGCAAGCATCTATTAATAATTGGAATATGGAATGTATGAAGTATGAATGTAAGAAAATTGGAGGTCACCAAAAATGAAATGAAACACGTAAAGATTGATATCCCAACCATTTTTTTAAAGTTAGGTGCAGTCCAGTTGGTTCTGACTCATAGTAACCCTATGTACAACAAAACAAAAAACTGCCCAGCCTTGTGCTATCCTCAAAATCATTGCTATGTTTGAGCCCTTCATTGCAGCCGCTGTGTCACTCCATCTCACTGAGGGTTTTCCTCTTTGACCTTCCACCTTACCTTCTAGAGGGACCCTTCACCATGGTATCCTTCTACAGGGACTAGTCCCTCTTGACAACATGACCAAAGTATAAGAGACAAAGTCTCACCACCATCCCTTCTAAAGAACATTCAGGCCAAACTTCTTCCAAGGCAGATTTGTTTATTCTTCTTTCAATCCATGGTATATTCAATATTCTTTGCCAACACCATAATTCAAATTCATCACATCTTTAATTGTCCTCTTTATTCATTATCCACCTTTCATATGCATAGGAGGTGAATGAAAAAAACATGGCTTTTGTCAGCCACACCTTAGTCTTCAAGGTGACATCTTCATTTGACACTTTAAAGAGGTCTTTTGCAGCAAATTTGCCCAGTCAAAGTAGTTAGATTTCTTGACTACTGTTTTCATGGGCATTGATTGTGGAAAGTAAAATGAAATCTTAGGCATTGGTGAGCTGAAATGGACTGATATTGGCCATTTTGAATGGGACAATCATATGTTCTACTAAGCTGGGAATGACAAATTGAAGAGGAATGGCATTGCATTCATTGCCAAAAAAAAAAAAAAAAAACTTGTCAACCTCTATCCTGAAGTACAATATTATCAGTGATAGGATGACATCCATACATTTAAAAGGAAGACTAGTTATTATGACTATTATTCAAACTTATCCATCAACTATTAATGCCAAAAAATGGTTGCAGCAGTATATTGAGAACTTCCTGCAAGCTGGATTCAGAAGAGGACATGGAACAAGGGATATCATAGCTGCTGGCAGATGGATCTTAGCTTAAGGCAAAGAATACCAGAAAGATGTTTACTTGTGCTTTATTGACTATGCAAAGGCATTTGATTGTGTGGATCATGACAAATTATGGATAACATTGAGAAGAATGGGAATTCCCAAACACTTGCTTGTACTGATGAGCAACCTGTACCTTGACCAGGAGGCTGTCGTTCGAACAGAACAAGGGGATACTGCATGGTTTAAATCAAGAAGGGAGTGTGTCAGGGTTGTATCCTTTCCCCATACTTATTCAATCTATATACTGAGCAAATAATCTGAGAAGCTGGACTATATGAAGAAAAATGTGGCATCAGTATTGGAGGAAAAATTTTTAACAACCTGAGATATGCAGACGATACAACTTTGCTTGCTGAAAGTAAGGATGACTTGAGGCACTTAATGATGAAGATTGAAGAATACAGTCTGCAGTATGGATTACATTTCAATATAAAGAAAACAAAAATCCTCACAACTGGATTGATAAGCAGCATCATGATAAATGGAGAAAAGATTGAGGTTGTCAAAGAATTCACGTTGTTTGGTTCTACAATCAATGCCAATGGAAGCAGCAGTCAAGACATTAGATGACGTGTAACACTGGGCAGGTCAACCATGAAGGAAGTCTTTCAAATGCTGAGGAGCAGGGATGTCTCCTCGAGGACTAAGGTGTGCCTGACACAAGCCATGATACTTTCAATTGCTTCCTATGCATATGAGAGCTGGACAATGAATAAGGAAGGCTGAAGAAGAGTTGATGCTTTTGAGTTGTGGTGCTGGCAAAGAATGCTGAAAGTACCGTGGACTGCTAAAAAGAACTAATAGATCTGTCCTGGAGGAAGTGCAGCTGAAATGCTTCTTAGAACAGATCTGTCCTGGAGGAAGTGCAGCTGAAATGCTCCTTAGAAGTGAGAATGGCCAGAATTTGTCTCACCTACTTTGGTCATGTTGTCAGAAGGGACCATTCCCTGGAGAAGGATGTCATGCTTGGTAAGGTGGAGGGCTGACGAAAGAGGGGAAGGCCTTCAATGAGATAGATTGACATGGTGGCTGCAACAATGGGCTCAATTATAGCAGGGATCATGGAGCTGATGCAGGTTCGGGTGATGTTTCGTTCTGCTGTGCATGGGGTCACTATGAGTCAGAAATGACTCAACAGCACTTAACAACAACATTAATGCCAAAGATGAAGAAACTGAAAGTTTTTATGAACTTCTGCAGTCTGAATATGATCAGACATGCAGTAAAAATATATTTATAATTACTGATAATTAGAATGCAAAAATAGGAAACAAAAGACCAATAATTGGAAAATATTATCTTAGTGATAGAAATGATGCCAGGGATCACATGATAGAATTCTGCAAGACCAATTATTTATTTATTGCAAATATCTTTTCAACAACATAAATGGTGACTTTTCCTTGCCAAATGGTGTACAAAATAATCAAATAGACTATTTGTGAAAACATACAATGAAATAGCACAATATCATCAGTCAGAACAAGACTGGGGCCAACTGCAGAACAGACCGTCAATTCCTCATAGGCAAGTTCAAGTTGAAGCTGAAAAAAATTAAAAGAAGTCCACAAGAGCCAAAATACATCCTTGAATATATTCCCCCTGAATTTAGAGACTATCTCAAGAATAGATTTGATGAATTGAACACTAATGACCAAACACCAGACAATTATTTGTGGGATGACATCAAAGACATCATACATGAAGAAAACAAAAGGTCATTAAAAAATACAGGAAAGAAAGAAAAGACCAAAATGAATGTCAGTAAAGACTCTGAAACTTGCTCTTGAATGTAGAGTACCTAAACCAAATGGAAGAATAGATGAAGTAAAGAGCTAAACAGAAGATTTCAAAGGGTAGCTCAAAAAGACAAAGTAAAATAGTATCATGAAATGTTCAAAGATCCAGAGTTGGAATACCACAAAGGAAGAACATGCTCAGCATTTCTTATGCTGAAAGAACTGAAGAAAAAATTTAAACCTTACAATGTAATATTGAAGGATTCTGTGGGCAAAATAATGAATGACACAAGAAACATCAAAATAAGATGGAAGAAATACACAGCATTATTGTGCTAAAAAAGATGGTTGGCATTCAACCATTTCAGGAGGGAATATATAATCAAAAATTTATGGTACTGAAGGAAGAATTCCAAGCTGCACAGAGAGCATTGGAGAAAT